GCACGGGCCAGGCCCAGTTTTCCTAGAGTTAGAGCAACATCTCTTTCAACATTCTGGATGCCTTCCTCAGACAGAAGATCTCTGCTTCACAAACCAGTTCTTCCTCTGAATTTTCTTTCTAACAAACAAACCCCCAAAACCCAAACAAAGTAAAACAAAAACAAAACCACAAACAAAAAAGCAAAACAGAACAAAAAAGTACAAGTGACAGGCAAAAGCTGAGCACTGCCTATTTTCAAGCAAACTACAGCTCCTTCTGCAGCAGGGCATGGATAAGACAAAGTTGCACCACTGCAGATCCATACTGTCACCTCCAGGTTCAGATCATTATACCTGAGAGTAATAATAAGATTTGTTAAATTGAAAGGGGGAACAAGAACCTGTTTCCTATTGCACAGGTGTAATGTCCACAGAAGGCAACAGGAATCATACAAGGCAAATGGGAAGATAATTTATTGCTTTATATTATAATTTATTCTCTTCTAAGAAAGGAATCAGACTTGACCACAAGACTGAAATGTGCTTGCCTAACATCTTAAATATTCCCACCATAAAAACAAAAGCAGCAGGTATGCTGCTTTTCATTTTATTGTATTTATTTTTCCTAGTTGCAGTGGAGTCCCTCCCTCTCTGAATACAGCTGGACCATCTCTGCCAGAGGACATCCCTGGGGCTCAGAAAAACATTCTAAAGACCTTTTTTTTTTTGCATTTGGAATGCAGTAGATTATATCAAGTGTCAGATATTTTCAAAACATTTCCCAAGGGACAGTACTCCTATAAATTCTTCACACCTACACTTAACTTTCCACACTCTGAGTGCTGTGTGTCCACAGAGCTGCTGGTGTTACCACAGGAATCAGGGTAAAGATTTGCACTGGCTGCAAACTGGACAAGGTTCCCAGTGCCTTTCAGGATTATGCACAAGAGAAGAGAAAGCAGGCTGAATTTAAATATACAAATCCATAGGACAGCAACTTTTTCACTTATGAATGCATCAGATAAAGGAATTTTATAGTTGTTGAAATTACTAATTTAGAGGCTGACAGATCTTTCAAAAAAAAAAAAAACTGAGAAAATATATTACTTTCCTTCTGGCTTGGTGATCACATAATATAGTTTTGATATCTGCACATTTTTCTGAGAATTAACACACTCAACAGATGTCCAGACAGAAAAGAAATTATTTTGTTCACAAAGAACAAAAAGCACAGAGGAACAATCTGTGCACACTGTACAAATGGTGAACCAACATTAGAAAACTAGATCCACCTACATGTACTCAAACTTAATATGGTGTATGCACATATTTGAAAACATCTGTGTGAGAGTTTAATTGTATTACAGAAAACCCTGGAGAAGATTCTGGTATGCCCCCATAGTCTTCAGATGAATTTTTTTCTATCCACAGAGTCCATGAAATGAACTTGTAGATCCACTGGCCTTGTCAAGCAGCATTTCCAGCATCTGAAGTGCCTCCATGGAGCTGAGGCCAACGTGGGACTTCAGCAGGCTGAGAAGAGATGGAAACGAAAGTGCTCAGAGCACACTTGTTTCATCTTGTGTGGTTTTTCTCTTCAAGAGGAGAGTGTGCTCTCATGTTATGGGGTGCCCATAGTCAAAGAATCGCAAAAAATGCTGAGTTGGAAGGGACCCATCAGGACCATCAAGCCCAGCTCCTGGCCCTGCCCAGGACACCCCAGGAGTGACACCCCGTGCCTGAGAGCACTGTCCAAACACTTCTTGAGCTCTGTCAGGCTTGGTGCTGTGACATCTTCCCTGGGAATCCTGTTCCAGTGCCCAGCCCCCTTCTGGTGAAAAACCCTTTCCTAATACCCAACATAAATCTCCAGACCCAACTTTATGCCATGTCGCTGTGGTGACCACATCAGTCTCCATTAATCTGGAAATGAGGTGGAAGGTTAGTTGGTAAGAAAAGGAGAGTAAAGAGGAAGGCAAAATGTTTGAAGACACTGCACGGATATGCCAACACCATATTGCTTGCTTGCTCCATGCCCTGTTGGAGGAGTGGCTCAGCCATGGGATGGAGCCAGGAGGAGCCCTTCCTCACCCTGGGGCAACACAGGAGCAGGAATGGGTGCAGACTCGGTCCCAGAGTCAGGGGAGGGAGGCAGGGAGGGCTCACAATAGAGGGAGTCACTTCTGCAACCAGGAAGAGGAAGGAGAGCTGAAGAGAACTCAGCATCGACTTAAAGCCCTGCTTTGCGTGTTCCCACAAGCCAGAGAAACACCCACCTGCCCCTGGCAGGGAGATGATGTGTTCAGAGATAAATACTCACCCTGCCCACGGGCCTTCCAACACCCACAGCTACTGAGCTCTGCCCACACCTAATCCTCCCTTTCTGTAATTCCCTTGAAATCAAGCATTAACCAACTTTCTTTCCACCTGTCACAACCCACAGGGAAACCCCAGGCCAGATTCAGCCCACCCAGCCAGCTGGGACATGAAAAGGTTGCAAGTACTCGGCAGCCTCATCAGAACCAACCCTCATAAAACACTTGAAAAGAGAACGTGCAGAAGAGCTTCTCCCAAAAGGTACAAGTCCTTCCTTTACTGTATGAGCTACTCTATGAAACCAATGTGCTATTTATGTCTAAAAATGAAAGGCAATAATAAAAAAAAAGAACTGTTTTATGTTGCTCAGCACGCAATAGCGCTCCCACATAACCCAACTCTTTAGAGTAAGGGTCTTTGCACACCAATCTAACATTCCTTTGACTCCAACAAAGTGGAATAAAATCTATTTCAAATATATTATTTGATGAAAGCAGATGTCAGCAGATACTGCCTATGTAATTGATATTTGATTTATTCAAGATTTATGCATGCTGTGCCTTAGATTTATTAATGATAATCCCCTGCTCTTGTGTTTAATATAGTGGAACCAAAACATAATTTGCTGGGATCAGTCAGAAATGCATCAAAGTGATTAACTCTACATGCAAACCATTATCCAGTGACATCCCTACTGTGCATAGTGCAAAAGGAGGCAATAATACAGTAATTGGCTTCACTTAAGCAAGTCAGATATTTGCTGTGATTGCTGGTAAAATTTGGTCCCTTTAATCTCAATGGTGCTACTTCTTCACATCCTTCATCTTCCCTTGATACATTCCTGTTTGCAAAAGAGTCAGAAACTTAAAATAATAATAAAAAAAAAAAAAAGAAAAAGCAGCACAGCCAAGATTCCTCCAACCACCTGGCAATTTAGCATGAGGAAATCATCAGAATCACAGTCAGCACAGCAGTGAAACTCAGCTCTGCTCCTTAAAGCAGCTAAGAGGGTCTCTCCCTGCTCCAGAGCTATGCTATTTGCAGGTTGTTCATGGCATCCCTCACTGCAGGGATGGAAGAGGGAGCAGCACAGCAAGAATAGCTTGAAAAGATCTCAAAGGAGGGACTAAGTTCAACGAGGAGGTGAAACTGTGAATCTGTGAGTAATCACAGAAGTTGGAAAGGCACATCCTCAGCCCTCCTGTGCTAGTCCTGTATCCAGGGAAGAAGCAGGAGTCCCTTAGCTCCTGGGGCTGGGAGGCAGAGGCTTGAATGAAGAGGCAGAGAGCAAAAAAGGCACAGAAAATCCCAGTCCACACAGGCAGAAGCAGGAAAGCTGTTGGGAAAAGGAAGCCTGTGAATTCTCTCACTGGAGTCATGACAGCCAAAGTCTCCATTTAGCCTAATTAATTTGTTCCACTCTTGAACAATACAATTTCAGTTACATGTCTTACGAGTTGTTACATTTCCAGGCAGATCCATTGCCATTGCAAGAGCAGCCATGTGTTTCCATGTTGTGGAACTAATTTTTTATCTCCTGGACCTGCACAGTCATTCTGCTCCCGATGACTGGCTGACCTGCAAGACTGGCTGGACTCCTTTTCACAAAAACCAGAAAGCACCTTTACCTCTGAGCCCCTTAAGCACAACTCCTGAAGCTGTCTGGGGGTAGTACTGCCCCAACAAACAGTAAAAGTGGTGTTCTGACATTCTGTCTCATCAGAAAGGAGGTGCCTTGAGAGAGGAGAAGTTTTTAAATGAGATGTTAAAATCCATCATCAATATCACTTATGGAAAGAACATGTGCTTAACATGATTTTCTCTTTCTTTCCACCTGAAATGACAAAATGTAATAAAAAAAACCAAAGTCTTGTTTCTCCTAGATACAAGGGTGATGTGCTATGACACAAAATTTCCTCACTAAAAAAGTTCATCTTGAATGGAGGGTGCTGGCTGATGAGCATGGTACATGCAAGCCCTGACAAATTTGACAGAAAATGCAGAGTTGCAGCAGTTAGAACAGGACAGTGGGCCTGCCTAGGCACAAAGAAGCTTTGTGACCTTCCAGACTGAAAAGAAGGACCCTCTGGATGGCTTCTTAGAGTAGATAAAGGAAGAACAAGAGAGAGCTGGGCAATTCTTTTTCTCTCATCTTCTTGTCACCCAAGAAGACAGAGCTAGGAGGCATCAAAATCAAACAAGTCCCAGCCACACAAAAGAAAACAAGGAAATAAGAGATAGTCTACTTTATTAGAAGGGAAAAGGAATTCTAGATTTAGAGTAATCACTCTTGTCCTCTCTTTTTTGTCCCCTCCTACCAAAACAGGCCAGCCTCCTTCCCGTGGCTTCCTCTCCCTTGATGCCAGGAGAGGAGAGGCTGCTTGTCCAGCCTCAATACACCAGCATTCCTGGTTTTCACTTTCCTGCTACTATTTCCACACAGTACAAAATAGTCTTCTTCTCATGGAGAACTGTCTAATTTTCCCAGCATGAAGTTCATGCTCTGGCCAACTTCAGTGAGTCTTTCTCTTTTCTACCGGGATATTTAAAGAAAAAATGTTGCCCTGCATTTCCAAATGATGCAGCTACCAAGATGAGATTATGGCATCAATCCTCTCCAGTAGGAAGGGTGTACAATTCCCTACTGAATTTATTGTTGAACAAAATGAAAAAAAAAAAAAAAAAAAGGATTGTTTCAATTAAAAGAGAGTTCATATCACATACAATTTAAAAACCCAAATTTTTCATTAATATACTTTTTCCAGATTGAGAATAATTACATCCATCTGGAGATCAAATTATAAAACGGAGACTTGTGCTGTAAGAAGGAATCTTGTCACTCAAACCTTGTACAACTTTGTCTTTTAAAAAGATTGCTAACACTGATTTTATAATGCTCTGCTTCATCCTTCTTCCAGACTGCTTTATCCTTAAAGTTGTTCCAGAACACTCCTGGTGTACCCAAGGAGCACCTGAGACAGGAATATCTCATGACCACATAATTTCACTGCTGAGACACTAACAAAGGAAAGGATTAACAGGTACAGAAGAAATATACATTAGGAAAGTGAGTACCCAGACAAACAGCCCAATTGTCCCCACAGATTCAGAAAAGTCCCAGAGACATCCACTGCTTCACTGCTTTCCAAGCCCCACAAGCTCCAGATGGGGCCCCTCTCCTCCAGAAGGTTAATTCCAGAGAAGAAACCTCACAGAGCAACTGTAGACACTGTCAAGAGAAGCTTCTGGGCACACAAAAACATCCTCCAAATACTCCTTCCCCCTCCAAAGCTGTTTGACTGCAGCCTAGCTTCACCTCCACCTTATGCCTTCATTTCTCCTGCCTTTTCCCATTACCTTTTCCCTTGTAGACAAAGTGACCTCTTCTTCACAAAATCCAGCACGTTCCCCCAAAGTGGGGAATTAAAAGGGCCTCATGCTGCTCCCTGAGGGCATCTTCCACCCACCCTGACTGTGCTCCCTTTCCTTTTTCCCCTGGGATATCTCTGAAGACAAGAGACACCTACGGCTCCACGTTCATGCAGCCAAGGATGCCTGTGTTGACCTCAAATGCCCTACAGTAATAAACACAATTCATGACAGCTCCTACTTTCAAAGCTCAAGGAAACATCCCTTTGCATTTTAATGACACTGATTAAGCGCCTCTAGAATACGAAACCAGAAAACTTCAAACCATTTGTGCTTAAGCCCATTTAAAATAATCAATACTTTAAGGCCATTCCCTAACACCAAACTTGCAGCCTCTTCCATCTCAGAATCATAGAACAGTCACCCAGAAATCATAGGATAAGCTGAGAATGAGGGATATACTGAAAATATTCTAGTTCAAAACTCATTTTTTATGCCTTCATGGATGTGATACTCTCTAAAGGCCACATCTTCACGGTCTTTACCATAGACAGAAGGCCTGGCTCTTTAAGGGAAAATGAGGATTTCCTTTGAATGCATGCCTTCAGGAATTGCAAGATCAAGGGAAAAATGAAAGCAAATGCAAAACATCAAGTATCAGAAGAGTCATGATTAGAGAAGAAGGATGAGCTGACAATGAGGACAGAAGGTCAGTTCATTAGGGAAGCTCTGATATAAAACACGGGATTTTTTCTTCAAGAAAACCAGGAAAATAGCAGCTTCAATTAAACTACATATTATTTTGGGTGTTTAAAAAGAGATGCCCATATTTAAGAAGTGGTTAAAGTATATAAATGGCTAATCACACAAGCGACATTATTCCCTGCCACTTCTTCTGCTCTGCAATATTGTTACTTGGCCAAATACCACCCTAGTAAAACCTCTTTCCACCACTGCATACCACAAGAGGTTGGACACACAGAAGTGTTTCTCATCTCTGCTACCCAGAACACAGACCTTCGAAAAGCTCAGTGCAGACCCAAAGCTAGAAATGGGCTGGCAGAACTTGCACTCCACCACCGAGCCAGCTTTGAAATCAGCTGAAATTTCCACGCCCTTCAAGCCTTTTAGATGAGCTGATGGAGGACAGTGGCAGTGGGAAAGAATGACAAGTAGATAACTAAAATGCCTGGAAAGTTGTCCCACATTCCATACACACTGGGAGAAAATATGAAATACCACTTTCAGCACGGACATAATTCAGCTTTGACAATCCTCTAAACAGGGTTTCCCAGGGAAAACCATCTCTGGGTCCCTCCAGCTGTGTCTCTGTTGGTGACATTTCCTTGGTGGTTTCCAAGTTACCCCTCCACTACCCACATCCCCGAGCCCAGCAGCATCTGAGCAGCTCTTTGCTTGGAGGACACCCTACAAACCCTTTGTACAAAGCAGGAAGGACTGGTGGCTCTGAAACCCTGCTCACATCTTTCCCTGTGGACAGTGCCCTAGGAAAAGGACTACTTGGGGAAGAAAAGGGGCCACATGGCACTGCATGTTTTGATGCTAATGAGCAGGACTAGTCCCTGCAATAAATCCACATCTAAAGGCTGCACCTCTGAATAAGGACATTTTAGGGATACGAGGATGTTAACAGGATATGGCACCAATGATTTAAGACAGTGAGTGCCTCCTTTGAGCTGAGTGTCCCTGCCTTGGCAGAGAGATGATGGTATGCTGGAAATATTAAACTAGCAACCTCCGTGGAGATGCATAGCTGCAAGTAAGAACAGAATTTGAAACCCTGTCGTCAGGATAAGTCATCAAACAGATCCTCCTAAACAGCAGCCAAATATATATCCGCATCTACTGTTGTAGGTGTTAATGGAACAGCTCCCAAATATGAATGCTGAAATAACATCCTGATCTCCTGTAACCAGAGCTAAGAGGATTTGCCATTGATATACCAGCTCTGAGCTGGATTTACTTCAAAATTTTCAAAAGCCCCTGCGATGGTATAAAGCACGTTTTTGTGTCGAAGGAATCCGGAGGAGTGCTTCACATGGAGCACTGGGCAATACGTAATGAATTCCACACTCCAGCTTTGTCCCCAGAGAAGGCTTCCACAGATTCCACAATGGAACAAGAGGTTTATTGAACGGGACAATGTGAGACGAAATCTATTTTACAACTTCAAGCAAGCTTCTGTCCACAGAGGACGAACAAAATTTGTTGCTGAAAAGAAAACTAATACTAAGCAAAAGAGCCTAGATAAAAAAGCAAGAAAATGTCACCTTTTGTAGCTCTTCACCCAGGTATTTGTTGTATGTGTGCACCCTGCCCTGCACACGTCTCTATGTAGCATGTACACGCAGATGTTACACAGAAGCACTCTTCAAACACAAAGGAGCTAAAAAAAACCAACATAATCCTGTCCTCTGGAAGTTCTTGGTATGGGAACAGTAATTAGATAATTCTACATTTGAATGTAGTACAGTTAATCAGAGCTTTCCCAGAGGCATTTTAGAATTAGGAGGAATGCTATTAAGGAATACAAATGTTTTATTTCCTAAACTGCCAATAAAAGGAGACAATCAACTTAAAAAAAAAAAAAAAAGGCTAAAATAGTAATGGAACTAGGTTGCTTTAAAAAAAAATTCAGACCACTTCATTCCAATGTCATGAACCTAAACAGGATGTTGTTGTGCTAGGGAATTAATTGGATTGTAAATAAAAGTGAAACTGATCAGTAAGTTTTTATTGCTTGTGATGAGTGAAATGCAAGGACTTTGCAAATAGCATAAATTATGAAAGTTGAATTTTTTCTGAAAAATTATTTCAGTTTGAATAATCTGCAGAGGATTAATGACACTTACTCTCTGGTAAGAATTTTTATTATAAACATATGAGGACAGTGTGAATCAGGAATAAGTCTATTTAAACCAATGGGATTGCACTGAAGGAAACATTTTTGAGGGCTGCAGAATGGAAACTAACTGAGTTCAACATACCCATTCGATGAGAGCAGAATGGGGACCATAGTTCTTTTTTTTTTCCCTCCTTGCTCCACACTTGCTTATGTGCTCTTACAGAAAACTCTTTTCTTGAACTGCCAGCCCTCCAGATGAGCTCAGGTCTGGGTGCTCGTGTGATGACAACATTCCTCTCACCTAAAACAAAGACAGCTACCAGCAAAGCCAGCCAGCTGGAATGCAGGATCACTGAGCTGAAGGCTGTCAAAAAATGTAAAATAATGCAATCCCAAACCCTTCCAAAAGGCAGCCTGGGTGAGAGAGAGGCATTGGGATGGTGAGGAACTGGGGACAAAGTCTCTAAGGGAAGACATGTGGAGACAAGAACACAAAATAGTAAAATCTGAGTGAGAAGGTGCACCCCTGCTTTGTATTCTTGCTAGGACCTTGTGCTTCATTTATCAAGGAGCAGAAAAGAGTGAATGTTCAGGAGGTCTGTGTGAAGAGACAGCTTGTTGGAGGTCACACCTGAAGAGTGGAGGTGGAGGACAAGGACTGTCCTAACTGTGAGAGGGAGAAAGTCCTGCCAGCTTCAGGTGCTGAAGAATGGAGGGGGAAACCCTGAGGGATTTGTGTCCTAACTGAGGCACACGAGTTGGAAGATGTAAATACAGATTCTCCTCTCCTCTTGCATCTCCCCATTCTCTAGAGAGTTTAAAAGGCTCATGAAACCTGCATGTAATATTATTAATACCCAAGGCAGATCAATTTAAATTGAGTAGAGCCACATAGTGTCAGCACACAATGAAAGTGTGATTGCTATCTGAAATCCACGGGGGTAGAAGCCCAAGGGAAGAGAACACCTTCTCACATTAACAGATAACAATGGCACAAAGCTATGAGTTTAAGCTTGGAACAAGCACCAAATCCATAACTAGAGGAGCATTCATATGTTGGGATGATCCCCTAAGAGGAGCCAGAGCAGTGCCCTGGTGCTCAGGTCTCCTGAGGACTGCCTTCATGGAAAACTGCATTATTTGACGTTCTTGCTGTAGATCTGGGTTTCTGCATCTTATTAGTCTTTCCTACACAGCCTGAAAGGGTTTTAGGAGATCTGTAATGAGGGTTTCACTAACTAAAACTCAATTTGTTTATCCTATCTCTTAGGGAAACAGCTCAAGGAGAAGCAAAACAGGGACAGAGGAAGAGCACATGCGCAAAGGAGATGGACTCCCTAGAACAACATAGCATACTAATTCATTCTGATCTTGCTATTTAGTACCTGCAAAGTCTACCATTATGCATTATTAAATTCATGTATTATTGAACCACAATCCTTGTTGCCTGGTAAGAAATGTGGATGATTTCTTAACTTAAATTAAAGCACTGCTTCCCTTATTTGAATAAAACTGCATTACTGGCTGCCTCTCATGGTAATCAGAAAACTGCATTAGGCAGGTAGTACTGTATGAATTAAAAAATAATGAAACAAGACTTTTCAGTCAGACATTGTTCCCTCGCCTGCTTTTCATGACAGCAGATTCCCTACTCTGAGTTGATAAGACAACAGCAAATGAAGATAACAACATGAGAGCAAAATCATTCACTCTAATAGGCTCCACCTGTGCAGGCTCCAGCTCATTTACATGACTGCAGAAAAATTAGAAATCATGCAGCAATTAGTCTCTTCTAGATTATGCACTGTGTCAACTGATACCACTCTTGAGAGCACTAGTGCTAAAATGGTTTCAAAAGATAAATCTACTAGCCTGTGCAAACATTTTTAATTACCTGGAAAACTGGATTGCCTGTTTAGAAAACTCTGCTGTAAAGGAGGCTGCCCACACAGCCCTGGAATCAAATGTCACCAGCTTCAAATGTTTATATAACTGACTTTTATAATGTTTGATGGCTTGGTGAAACAGAACCACATATCTGTTTTTGCTGCCGTGTAGCTGAAGGAACATCTCTTTACAGGGAGGTAATGGAATTGAGGTAAAAGGAATTTTTCTTTTTCTTTTTTGTGTTAGCAGGTATCGATTCCTTTAGTCTCAGATCTCATCATCCACTCTCATCCATTGCAAAACGATGATCATTCACAGCACTGAGCAAACCCAGCAGCTATTTACAGGATAAAAATTAAGGGCTGCATTGTGAACCCTGCACTCTCCCCAGCAAGGAGCTCTTCACCTAAGAGGCCCAGTGAAGTCAATTTAACTGCTTATGAGTAGCTGTTCATCCTTGTGAGGGAGCAGCTCACAATCTGGGCTCCAATTCTCTGCCAGGGTTAGCATATGTGCTGGTGGGAAGGCAAGTCTGCACGTCCAGCTGGTGCAAATCTGCAGCGCTCCCAAACTCACAGGAGCTCTGCAGATCTGCACTGAGCAGCGATCCCCACCCCTCGCATGAAGCATGTGCTCTCCACATCTTGGCTGCTGCTAACGAGGCTTTGAAATCACCTATTGGAATTTGAAGATAGTGTTTCTTTGGTATATTTAAATCTTTCTCAAAGGAAAAAAAAATTTAAAAAGTCTTAGAGTAATTGGAAAGGAAAAGAGAAATAAAAGCATCATAACTTTGAGAGCTACAGAGTTTCATTCTGAGCCAGGTACTTTCTATTTATCTGACTCATTCTCTTAAAAATTTGAGAACAAGGAAATACCTAACTGTGAAGACTGAAACCTCTAGGACTGCTCTTGAGTTCCTGTTCTGTATCTGATATTTCCACAGAGTGTAATAACGTGGTTTTATAATTAGAACTGGATGAACTCATGAGGGGCCACCTTAATGGCACAGTCACAGCTTTGGTTATGTAAACTGTTCCTGCAGGCTGAGTTTAAATGCAGGTTCCAACCTTTGAAATTTTTCTTTCCCTCCTTAAAATACTGCCCATGTCTTTTTGTGTCACACAGAATAAATTCTACAGCTCATACAAGCAGATTTAGTGAGGGTCACCCCCGTCCCCACAAGGAATTTACACAGCTCATTTCTGATGTAACACCATGTTTGCATTACTCTCAATTCAGGACCACTGAATTATCCCTCTTTAGTTATCAAGACTTCTTGTCACAGCTTTTTAGTTTTGAGACCCTTAGCTGAGCATCTTCAGCACTTCCAGTTGCAAATTAAAGACCTTACCTTCGTTCTCAAAGCTAGGTCCTTTATAACTTGGACCATTTCCCTTGGTCACACCTGGGAAATGTGGGTGCCCTGGAAGTACAGCCCTCCCAAAAAGCCAGAGATCCTTTAGAGCTGTCAGGTGTATCTGGAAGATGCAGTGCTGGGGAATACCTTGCCACAAGAATCTGAAGATTAAAAAGTGAGTGTGGAACCCAAAAAATATACCAGACTGGAAAGGATGAGGGGGCTGAGTGAAGCTGTCCTGATATATATCTTAAAATATACCTTATTCTTCCCCTAAGCAGCCCACAAATTCTGTGGGCTGATACCCATGAGGGGGACATCTCTCTCATTATCCTCATACTTCTGTTTCCTTCTTGCTAAACATACTAAACTTTGTTTCTGTGCAATTTATAAACAATTGAGAGGGGAAAGTAGGTTGAGTTTGTCCTTCCATCCAAGGCACAGCTCATGCATAGAAGGACCCATCATCCAGGTAAATGGCCTGCAGAACCAGGGCAGTTCTGCTCTGCTCATCCTTTATGCAGGATTATGTGTCCTCACAGTTCTGTGATCACATCAGATCACATTCTGTGATCACAACTTCATGGAGTCAGCAGCCCAGGATCCTCTGGCACAAATCACATGGACAGCATTTTCACCCCTGAAGCCTTTCCTCTGCTCTCTGCACTGGACAGGCTCCCACTGGCTGCTCTCATATTCGAGTTTTGGGTGGTTTCTGGGTGCTCATTTCAGGAAGAGTCATCATGCACAGTTTTGCTGCTGCTGTTTTTATTTTAACACAAACCCAATGCAGTTTAACCATTTTGAGGTTAATGCATACATGCTGTGGACAGCAGTATAATCAGCCACACTACAGCATTGTAAAGGAAAGTGATGGGAGGGCAGGGCTCTTCAGAAGTGTGGGGACAGCTGGACAACAGAATGCAACAACCCCCCTTGAAATGTGGACAGAATGCAAGAGAGAGGTTCTGGATATGTGCATGAGCACCTACCCTACTGCAAACCAGTCCATCTGAGCTTTAATAGGAAGCACTGGCAAGGAGAGCCTCCTAGCAATCTTAATTTATTCCTTGATGATGCCACAGTTGGTGGTACTGACTAGGATTCAAATATAAAATGGAATTTATGGAGAAATTTATGAGTTTAATGGAGAAATCTGTTAAGAGCCTTGAAAGCCCTTATATAGCTAATGAGGTGTTTCAAGTCCCCCAGCAAATTCTGTGTTGCCTGATGAGGTTCAAGTTTCATAGTTTAACCAGACAGCAAGGGGAAAGAATGACAGTATATATATGGCAGAGTGTAACACTGACCAGGGGCTGCTCATTTGGAAGCATCTTGGAAGACAGGTTATGAGCAATGTTCATCTGTCATTATTAATGACTGAAGTCAAGTAATCAACTGGGTAAGCCTGATCTGAGATTGTTGTGTCTAATCTAAATTTGTGGATTTAGCAACGTGCACAGGAACTGCAAAATAATGCATCAGATTTGCAAATATACAATATCTTAAAAGCATCAAGGATAAACAGTGAGAGAAAGGGGGGGAGTCACACTTGCCTCACTTATTGGGATTGCCTTAAGATACGTGGGCAAGTGGAACACTGTAGAATGCAGGAGTTGCCACAAGATGGGACATTCAGCTCACAAATGTGAAAGTTGCTGGCAGAATACTGAACTTTACATCTAATGAGTAAAGCTGGATTTATAAATGGTCATTTTAAGGAGATAATCCTTTGCTCTCTGTGAAACACCTGCCAACAGGCTCCTGATGAAAACACTCTCCTTCTAGTGGGAGGAATTTTGACATTGGTGACAGAGTTACTGTTCAATTCTGGCTTATTTGTAACCAACTGGTGAAAACTGAGAACTGGAAATTTCATCCTGCAGAAGTTGTCCTAAATATCTGTTGTTTGTATTCCTTCAGTTACATTAATGGAGACACATCTATGGCTGTAAAGTCAACCAGCCAGGGGATGCCCCTGCTGGGGAAACCTCTGAACTCTGCAGCTTTCTCCTTCAAAGGAATCCTCTCTTCTTCCACAAATTAATGGGTATTTTCAAATGCTGTGGCCAAGCTTCCCACACTCAGGCCACACAGTGAACAAACAAGCAAGCAGGATGAGCAAAATGAGTCTCTGCTGCAGACAGCAAGTAGACTCAGTGGCTGCAGAGCAGAAAGAGTGAGTAAGGAAAGAAAACTTGGTTTTAGAGGTCAAATAATAACATTCAAATAATTGCTTGCCTCCCTGTTCTTTGGCCAGCTTTTGGGGGGGGTTTGTTTGATTTTTTTTTTTTCTTTGGGGGTATGGTTTGGGGTTTTTGGGGTTTTGTTGTTGGGGTTTTGTTGTTTGGTTGTTTTTTGGGGGTTTTTTTGGTGGTAGTTGGAGTTCAAGTCCTAAAGGCAATGCAAACTTCTGGATAAAAGGTGATGGATGGAAACGTAGCTACTATGATGTGTGCCACAATGAAGGGGAGGAAATTAGTTCAATAACTTGCCTAAAGCACCACATGGAGATAGAAGCAAGGAAAGCGTGGCTGCTAGAGGTTAATGTAAAAAACACTAACCACAAATCCAGGATAGGGCCAGGCTCCAAAATGTAAGTGGAAGTGGCCTAGAAAACCCACACAAAGCCAGTCATTTACAAGCAAAGGTTCTGTGCTTCTGGAAAATAAGGGTAAGAATAAAAACTGCCTGTGCTAGTAATCTAGGATCTGCAGCAGAGTAACTAAATCTGTTGGGTTTAGACTGCCTGAAGGCATAACATTAAACTGGGGAGAGACTTTTAGTTTAATCTCCAGCATGACAGATATCCTTAAGGGGATTCCATGTAAATATTCAGCGCATTGTTTTTGTCTCCTTAAAAAGCTGGAGGAGTTGAACCACCACTCTCCTATCTGATGGGATGGATATTTTTCTCTGCCTTGAACAAGACATGGTTAAGTTTAAGAGCTTCCTCATGATTCCAGTTCACCTCTTCCCCTGGGCCAATGTAAATCATCTGCATTACAGGGATGTTTTAAGTAACCCTCAGTGTGATATGCTGAAGGTATTCTGTCTATGCATATGCCTGCACCCCAGGAACAACTCATGTGGTCTTAAGAGCAGCATCTCTGACTCCTCAGCTGCATATAGAAAAAAAATAATGGTGGGTTGTGACAAAGAGAAGACAAAATATTACCTTGGGATCACAGAATACAGGGGCTCATATTACATTCCCTGCACCAGATAATAAACCAATTTTTGAGGAGCTAATCTGGCGAAAAAATGTTGCTTTTTGGCAGATTTCAAACTACAACTTAATTAGACAACATAGCCAATGTCTCACAATATTCATATTCCTACCTGATTTCACGGAATTAGA